GAGCAGCAGCAGCAGCAGCAACCATCTATTGTTATACAAAATCATACTGCTGTCTCTGCTAAGGCAGAAAGAGGAGCAGCAGATCTACAAGAAAATCAAAGTTGGATTCCTCAGGCCGTCACCGTGTAAGTCTCCTTCTGTTGCTGCTGTTGCTGCTGTTGCTGCTGTTGCTGTTGCTGCTGCTGTTGCTGCTGCTGTTGCTGCTGCTGCTGACTATATAAGGGTACAGAGTTAAAGAGAAAGGGTAAATATATAAAAAAACCAAATAAAAATAGCCAAATAAATAAATAAATAAATAAATAAATAAAATAAATAAAATAAATAATATTTATTTATTTATTTATTAATTTATTTATTTTTTTTTTTTCCTGTTAGTTTTTTTTCTTCACGATTAAATCGTGTATTATTATTATGTGGATTTGCAATTGGATGTTTTGTTATTGTTGAACATTGGAAATATCATTCAAGGATGGAACTATTAAAGGTAATTTACTCCGACTCCTGCTCCTGCTGCTCCTGCTGCTGCTCCTGCTGCTGCTGCTCCTGCTCCTGCTCCTGCTGATGCTGCTGCTGCTGATGATGATGCTGATGCTGCTGCTGATGCTGCTGATGCTGCTGATGCTGCTGATGCTGCTGCTGATGGTGATGGTGATGGTGATGATGGTGATGGTGATGCTGATGGTGGTGATGGTGGTGTGTGGCACCACCAGCATGCGTTTTGCTGTTTTGTGTGTCTGTATGGTTATTTATTTATTTATTTATTTATTTATTTATTTATTTTAATTAATTAATTTAATTTAATTTAATTTATTTATTTATTTATTTATTTATTTATTTTTATGCAGAGAAGGATGGATGCAAATCTGCTGCTGCGCAGCTTCCATATCCTCGAGGAATCCTTAGGCATGCGCCGCTAAACCTGCTGCAGCAGCAGCAGCGGCAGCAGCTGCTGCTGCTGCTTTTGCTGTTGCTGCTCCCGTTGCACCTACTGCTGCTGGGGCAGAAACAGCAACAGCAACTTACCAGCTGCTGCTGCAGCAGCAGCAGCAGCTGGAACAGTGTCACATGCTTGATGAGTGGCAGCAGCAGCTGCTGCTGCAACAACGCTGCAGCTGCTGCAATAGATAGAGCAGCAGCAGCAACAACAGTTGTAGCAGCAGCAGCAACAACAGATATATAGCAGCAGCAGATGCTGCTGCTGCTTGATTTCTTGCTAGCGTATTTACTACTGGAGGGAACTAACGCTGTGGAGCAGCAGCAACACATACACCCAGCAGCAGCAACTCCAGCAGCAGCAGCTGCTTTTTCCCTTTCTGCTGCTGCTGCTGCTGTTGCTGCTGCTGCTGCTGTTCCTTATTAGGTTTACTGAACTATTTAAGGTTGGTGGCTGCAGTTGATACAAGAGAGCAGCAACAAAACAATTAACTTGTATGCATACAAATATAAATAAATAAATAAATAAATAAATATAAATAAATAAATATAAATAAATAAATATAAATAGGTAAATATAAATAAATAAATACAAATAAATATAAATAAATAAATAAATATAAATAAATATAAATATAATTAGTATATATAAGTAATAAATGTTAAAAGAAATAAAAAAGAAAATGTGCAGCAATCCAATGGACCACTGGTCTGCGGTGTACGTATACCTCTGCTGCAGCACGTGGCAGCAGCAGCAGCAGCAGCAGCTGCTGCTGCTGCTGCTGCTGCTGCTGTTGCTGCTGCTGCTTAGATATGCCTAGCAGCAACACGAGATATTATAGCTGCATGCAACCCGCCAGGCAGCTGCGCTTCAGCGTCGCTGACGCCAAACAGCTTCTGCTGCTTCTGCTTCTGCTGCTGCTGCTGCTGCTGCTGCTGCTGTTGCTGCTGCTGCAGTGGAGGGGATATGCTGCCGTAACAAAATGCATCATCTATAGGCACATTTTGGCCTTGGATTTGCTGCAGCACAAGATGCAGCAGCTGCTGCCTTCTGTCTTCTGCTGCAGCAGCAGCAGCAGCTGCTGCTGCTGCATCTGTTGCTTCTGTTGCTGCTGCAGTTGCATGCAGCTGCTGGTCAATAATGCTTCTTCCTGCTCCCTTAGAAAAGAGCATGCACCCTGCATTAAGTGGCACGAGGTGCTGCATCCTGCTGTTGCTGCTGTTGCTGCTGCTGTTGCTGCTGCAGCTGCTGCTGCAGCTGCTGCAGCAAGGGTGTTGTTGCTGCAGTGCCTCCCCAAAGGAGACAAGCAGCAAAGAATCCGTATTTTGCTGCAGCGCGAGTTTATTAATTGCTGCAGCAATGCTGCTGCCTCCGGATAAGGAGAGTATACACTCAGAGAAGAAACTTTTGCTTCTTGTGTTGCTGCAGCAGCAGCAGCAAAGACACCGCAGCAGCGCAACCTGTAGCTGCTCTATAGATACTATAGCGCATGCATTTAGCAGCAAAAAGCCCCAAACACGACCTGCACGCCATACATGAGGATCTATTGTTGCATGCAAAGAACCAGATAATAAACTCTCCAATGCAGCAGCTACAATCTCCTTGCTGCTGCTGCTGCTGCTGCTGCTGTTGCTGTTGCTGCTGTCCTGTGTAGTGCTAGTCTTATGGTCCGCTTCAGTCGTCGTTGCAGGTGCTCCTCCATCCTGCTGCATCGGTTGCTGCTCTTGCTGCTGCTGCTGCTGCTGCTGCTGCTCTTGCTGCTGCTGCTCTTGCTGCTGCTGCCTTGGAGGCAGCACGAGTATATCCTTAATATGCTGCTGATTAGTAACTGAATTAAAGAGGAAGACGTCAATAAAAAAAGAAGAAAAAAGAGGAAAAAGAGAGCAACGAACTCCCTTATAACCCCATAATTCTATCCTCTCTATACGGCTGCTGCTGCTGCTGCTGCTGCTGCTGCTGCTGTTGCTGTTGCTGCTGCTGCTGCTGGCGGTGGTGGTTGTGGTGGCGGTGTGGCAGGTACAGCTGCACATGGTGCTGCTGTTGCTGTTGTTGTTGCTGCTGCTGCTGGTGATGGTGCAGCAGCTGCTGCTGCTGGTCTCACCACTGCTACTGCTACTCATGCTCCCGACTGGCACTGTTGCTGTTGCTGCTGCTGTGTCCCTGCTGCTGCTGCTGCTGCTGCTGTTCCTGGTGCTGCTATTGCTGTTGCTGTGATTGTTATTGCTGCTGTTGCTGCATAAGGGAGTAGAAGAAGTCTTATAAAGTACCTTTTAGCAGCAGAAGATTGGGGTGTATAGGCAGCTTGCTGCTTATATTTGTAATAAATGCTCTTCTTTATGGATAAATTTAATTTATTTCTCCTTTTTCTTTTTTTATTCTTTTTTATTAATAAAAAAAGAAATAAAAAAAGAAAATTTAATGCCATTAGTGCAACAAAGACAAGAAGAATGCTGCTCCTCATCCAGCCCCGGCAGCCGCCGCTGCTGCTGCTGCTGCATGCATGCAGCCTGCTGCATGCATGCAGCAGCAGCAACAACAGCAGCAACAACAACAATATTGTCACTAACTGAGTGGCAGCAACTGCATAGAAGAGACTGCGGCGGCCCCTTACGTCCACGTTAGAGCAGGGTTGCAGCAGCAGCAACAGCAGCAACAGCAGAAACAGCAGCAGCAGCAGCAGCAGCGACAGCAGCAACAGCAGCAAGAGCAGCTGCAACAACACCTACAAAAGCAACAACAGCACGTGCAGCAGCAGGAAGAACAACAAATACAGCAGCAGCAGCAGCAGCAACTATAGAAGACAGCAGCGCCGCCAGCAGCATTCCTTCCTTTTGCTGCAGTAGAGTTAACAGGTGGAAACAGCAGCAGCAGCAGCAGCTGCAGCAGCAGCAGCAGCTGCTGCACCAGCAGCTTCTGCAGCACTAGCAGCAATTTGGTTAGAACGCCGCAGAGACAGCAGCAGCAGCAACAGCAACAATAGCAGCAGCAACAACAACAGCAGCATTTGCAAACAACAACAACACCTGCTGCTGGATGCAGCGCTGCTGCGGCGCTGCTGCTGCTGCAGCTGCTGCTGACAGGTGCAACACGGAGGCAGCACCAGCAAATGCAAGCGAGCAGGGCGCGCCGCCAGTTGCTGCTGCTGTTGCAGCAGCAGCAGCAACAGCAGCAGCAGAAGCAGCCACAAAGCGCTTGAAGGTTGCCACAGATGGAGCAGCACAATTGGCACCGGCAACAGCAGCAGCAGCAGCAGCAGCAGAAGCAGACGCAGCAACAGCAGCAGCCGCAGCAGATGCAACAGCAGCAGCTGTTGGGGAACCAGTAGAGCCACCCAACGCAGCAGCAGCTGCAGCAGCAGCAGGAGCAGCAGCAGCAGCAGCAGGAAAGGCGACATCACCCAAATCTGCAGCAGCAATAGCAGCAGCAGAAGGGAAGGCAAAATCCCCCAAATCAGCAGCAGCAGCAGCAGCAGCAGCAGGAAAGGCAGCATCCTCCAAATCAGCAGCAACAGCAGCAGCAGCAAATGGTGGAGGAGGAAGTGTTGAAGCAGCAGCCTGCTGTTTCTGCGGTGGCAGCTGCAGGGAGTTGAGTGCATGCGCTGCTGCTGCAGCAGCAGCAGAAGCAGCAGTAGATTGTGCATTGCTGCGCTGCAGCAGCATACTTGGGCAGCTGCAGCTGCTGCCTTGCTGCTGCAGGCTGCCGCTGCATGCAGCAACAGATGCTGTTGAGTTAGCTAGTCTGCATAGACTTGTTGCTTCTGTTGCAGGTAATAAAGCCCCATTGCATGCAGCAGACGACAGCAGCAGCAGTAGCAGCAGCAGCAGCAGCAGCAGCTCCAACGGTACTCCTGTATCCAGAGGCAAACGAGCAGCAAGCAGCAGCAAAAGTGCTGCTGCTGCTGCACATAACCAAAGATGCAGCTGCTGCGGTGCTGCTGCAGATAGCTGCAGCTGCAATAGCAGCAATAGCAGCAACAGCAGCAGCAACAGCAGCAACAGCAGCAACAGCAGCAGCAGTACTACAACAACAACCACCGCCAGCAGCACGAGCAGCTGCAGCACGAGCAGCAGAGAGAGTCCTAATCAGCAGGACAATCGTCGTCATCATCTACAGCAGCGTCAGCAGCAGCAGCAGCAGGAGCAGCAGCAGCAAGATGTGTCTGCTACTGCTACTGCTGCTGCTGCTGCTGCTGCTGCTGCTGCTTCCTGCTTCCGTCAAGGATCCGTCCCTGCCCCCCTCTTACGTCACCAAGCGCTGCAGCAGCTGCGGGGGGGACTTCGTGCTGCAGTAACAGATGCAGCAAGCGAGGGGTTGCTTATATATTTCTTCTCTCCTTGCTGCAGCAGCAACAGCAGCAGCAGCAGCAGCAGCAGCAGTGGGGCATTCGTGCTGCGCTGCGGCTTGCTGCTAGAGTATATTGCTGATGGGGATGCATGCCTTTCCTGGGCATTTGTAGCAAAAGGTTTATCTGCTGCAGCAGAGAAGCAGCTGCTGCTGCTGCTGCTGCTGTTTGCTGCTGCTGTATTCCTTAAGGATATGCCATACACCAGCGGAAATACACAGCTGCCTATACACCCCAATTCTCCATTCCCTCTGCACTCTCCTCAGGTGTATAGGCAGCTTCTTGCTGAGCAGCAGCTGCTGCTGCCCTTGCTGCAGCAACACTGCAACGTACGATTTATACCCGCTCCCCCTGCAACAGCTGCAACAGCAGCAGCAACAGCAGCAGCAACAGCAGCAACAGCAGCAGCAACAGCAGCAACAGCAGCAAAAGGTTCATCAGACCGCGCCTCCAACGGTGTTAAGCCGCATGAAGCAGCAAAAGCAGCAGCAAGAGAATCTTCTGCTGCTGCTGCTGCTGCTGCTGCTGCTGCAGCAGCAGCAGCAGCAGAAGGTGTTTGCTGCATTCCTTCTCGTCCTGTGAATCTTCGCTGCAGATTAACAGCAGACTCTAGCGACCTGCTGCTGTGTCCCCGTTTGCTGCTGCTGCTGCTGCAGCAGGAGCCCTTCTCTCGTTGGCTGCTGCATAGGGAGCCAGATTGCCCAGAAGCAGAAGCAGCAGCAGCAGCAGCAGCAGCAGATGCAGCAGCAAGAAGAGGAGAACGTGCATGCAGCAGCAAACGTAAAAAACGCAGCGAAGCAGCAAATAACAACAGCAACACAGACACAGGAGACTCTCTGCAGCAGCAGCAACAGCAGCAGCAGCAGCAACGACAGCAGCAAAGACGTGCTGCTGCTCTTGCTGCAGCAGGATTCACTGCAGATGGACAAGTTGCTCATGATAACCTAAGAGATGCTTCCTGCTGCTGCTGCATGCAGCAGCAGCAATGGTCACGACGTGTTGCTATTATAGATGCTGCTGAGCTCTCTCTTAAGATTATACCCGAGCTGCTGCAGCTGCAGCAGCAGCAAGAGCAGCAAGAGCAGCAAGAGCAGCAGCAGCAGCAGCAAGGGCAGCAGCAAGAACAACAGCAGCAGCAGCAGCAAGGGCAGCAGCAAAAAGGAAGCATTGGATGGGCTCCTAGTCCAGTGTTGCTGCAGGGACTGCAGCAACTGCAGCATCAGGAGCTGTTTGCATGCGGCAGCAGCAGCAGCAGCAGCAGCAGCAGCAGCAGCAGCAGCAGCAGCAACAGGATAAATGCTCCTTGTACTCGTGTCTGTGAGGAATTGCTGCGGCTGCAGGGGACACATAAACATATAAAAAGATGTAGAGCTATGCTAGCAGGTGTACGTACACCGCAGCAGCAGCAGCAGCGGGAGCAGCGGGAGCAGCGGGAGCAGCAGCAGGGGGAAGCAGGGGGAGCAGTACCAGCTGCTGCTGCTGCTGCTGCTGCACAGTGCAGCAGCAGCAGCAGCTAAGGTAAGAGGGAGAAGGAAAGAAGGGAAAAAAGGAGACAAAAGAAAGAAAAGGAGACAAATAGGCAATTAATAGACAAAAGGAGACACTTATTAATAACAATATATAAATATATATTTTATTATATAAATATATTTATTTATATTTATTTATTTATTTATTTATTTATATTTATTATTTATATTTATTTATATTTATTTATTTA